AAACACATTTGGACGGCGAGGGCGGAGTGGGGCGTAATCCTGGTCGTGCGCTTGTTAACATGGAGGCTGAACTTGGCAAACTTTGTTATCGCAGAGCGCGTCGCAGAGAGCGGCGCGGAGCCGAGGATCTTGCGAAGCTCCGCTGCACCACTGAGTTTCATCGGGCGGGGCGGGGCGGGGCGGGGCGGGGCGCCCTGCACGTCAAGGCCCTCCGCGACGCAGTCCCGTGCACCAATAAAACTGCCGACAGCAGCAAGGACTCGCCGCCAGGGCCCTTGAGAGGGTGGCCGGCCCGGCCAGCCCGAGCCCAGCCAGCGATACACCATTTCCTTTGGCCAAAAGTTCTCTCAAAGACGCTGTTCGCGGGGCTGGCGGCCCTGGGACCTCGACGGCGACCTCGACGGGGGCGCACAGTGGGCCAGAAGACCGGCCCACTGTGAGGCGGTGGGGTCGCGCGGCGACGCTCCCAGCCAGACCTAGCGGTCCCAGTGCAGGTACCGCGGGCCGCGGCCTTCAATTGCGATAAAGCCGGAATTAGCATTTTTATTGCTATTGGGCATATTCGCGTGGCGGGGCATGCATGCGCTGCAGCGCATAGAATGCAGATGACCCTTTTTTTTCGGCCGCGATGACACAGAAAAGGGGGCGGGGGAGAACGACATGCGTTGCGCGTCTATGTTTTCCACATTGCGCGCGCTAGTCGCGCCAGAGATGGGCCGTATCGTAAAGCGCGGCGCGCGAATCTTGCCCGCCGCCGCCTCGCCTGGTTACGACGCGGGGGGCGCCCCGCACGGGGCAACACTGCGCTGCCGGCGGGTGCCTTATTCTGGGCGCGGTCATCCAACGTCAGTTTTCAAACACCAAAGAACATGGAACCACAAAAACTAGACTAGACGCTTTTTTCCGCGTCTTCTTTCCTAGGGCTGAAGTTTTTACTTCCTCCTGGCTGGTCACACACACACACACACACACACACACACACACACACACACACACACACACACACACACACACACACACGCGCCAAGACGTCGAGCTAGTCGTGCATAAATACCCAATAACGACGCCACCGCCCCAAAGGTGGCTCTTCTGAATACGATTTGGCATCAAAGGCGCCCCACTGCGGCCGGGCGCGGCCAGACGCGCAGCCAGACGGGCGGGCAGACGGGCGGGCAGACGGGCGGGCAGGCAAGCAGACCGCTGCCTGCACCCTTCCGCTTACAAGGTAAAAACGGTCCGGTCGGGGACTATGGCCGCCGCCGTCAGCACTTTGCGAGCGGGGCGCACCGGACCGCCGTCACTCGAGCCGACTAACTGGAGGCTGAGCTGGGCTTCTAGGCGGGCTCCTACGCCGGGCTCGGCTCGGCAGCGCTGAGCGGCGCTGAGCCCTCTGTCGGACCGCCTGGACCGAGCGGGGCTGCTGGGGCTGCTGCTGGGGCTGCACGCGTACCAGCCACACACAATGGACAGGCCGGCCGTTAGACGCCTCGCTGTGGCTGGGCTCCACTCCGAGCGGAGACTCTCTCTGTCTCTGTCTGTCTGTCTGTCTGTCTGTCTCTCTCTCTCTTTCCCTCGCACTCATGCGGCGTCCCGTGTGGGGGGAAGCGAGACGGCCTGCAGGTGGCAGCTCTGGCCAGATATAGAACAAAGCTGGAGGCGAGGACGGTTTAAACATTGACGAATAGCCGGCCGGCGAGTGGCCGCCGCGCGCCGTCAGGCCGTCAGCGTCCTCTCTGGCGGCGTGCCAGCAGGTCATCAATGAGGCGGCGATATTGAGCAGCCGCAACAACAACAACAACAACAACACGACAGGCGGCCGGCTGCAGCAGCAGCCAACACCAGCCGACACCGTGCCGAGCTTCATTCGTCTTCGTCCCTGCTGATTGTTGTTCGGCTCGGTTCGGCCGGCAGCACGGCGTCCAGATGGCCGAAGGGCCGAAGCCGCAGGCAGGGCCGCGTCCGAAGTGGCGCCCGAAAGGCCGAAGCGAGGCGACGACGACGCGGCGCTCGGGAGGAATGAGAATGGATCGGCGGCATTACGTCTTATTTGCGCCGACAAAAAGGAGGACCAACTTTTCTCACCTGGTTTGCGCCTCTGTGTGTGCGCGCGCGCGCGTGTGTGTGTGTGTCTGAGAGAGCGGGGGGGAAGGGGCCCAACCATGGGTGTGAGTTTGCGGGAAAGCAGGAAAGAAAGAGAGAGAGACGTGATCATGCCCCGACCCGACAAGGCCGTCGTTTAGAGAGGGAAAAAGTTGGGGGTGCCACAAACAAGGGGAGAGTGAGAGGGAGAGAGAAGGAGAGCTGGGGGTGAAGAAAAATAAAGGATACCCGCCGCGGCTGCCTGACATTGGAACTTTTCCTTTGCGTGTAGGTCCCGCACGGCACGCATGTGACCACGTGACCGGCCCTCGGCCCCAAGGAGACTCCAGACAGTTGCACATCGGCAAACAGCCACCAGCAGCGCCCCCGCGTCCCGTTCCAGTTTTCCCCTTTTCTGGCACGCTCCACCTCAATCCCGGGCCGCTCAGGCTGCAACGTCGCCGCCTGCATCCGCCCGGCGCTCTCATCCGGCTCAAGCAGGCCGAGCAGGCCGTCGGCGTGTCGAGCAGGGCTCATCCTGGGCATGCACGTCATATCTCGGGGGCCGACTGGGGGCCGACTGGGGGCCGACCCGATGACCCACATCGCCGGGGCGAAATACGGGCAAGCAGGTGCGCCCGGCGGGCGGGCCAATCTCTGTGGACACATCGCGGCGCGGCGCGCATCACCGGGGCCGCCATGTAGGTCAGCACCCACTTGAGCGAGAGCGGGGCGCGCCGCGCTGCTTCAAGGCGACCCCAAAACCATTCTTTTTTTTGCGTTTTTTTTTTTTTGTGAGTCGCGGGTCGCTTCCAGCGGCGCTTAGCGCCATCTTGCTGCCTTTGCGGCGCCTTGGCGGCTTTGGCCCCGCACAGTGGGCCAGAAGACCGGTGGAGGCGGACAAAAATCTAGACGCGTTTTGAGCTCCAGAGCCACTAAATGGGACTCGAACCGAACGAGTGACGCCACCAATAGATTGCTCTCCGAACGAGGAATCCTTTGGTGGGGTCACACGTTCGTTTCGAGGCCCTGTTTACCGACCCTGGAGCTCAAAACGCAGCTAGAGTTTTGTCCGCCTCCACGGCCCACTGTGCGCTCTGCCCCGCTCTGCCAGGCCCGGCCGGGGCGCCGCGGGAGTGATTTGACGGCGCCGAAGCACCTCGCCAGCTGAGCAAAGTTTGGCCGCGTGAGTAATGGCCGCTTGTCCCGGCCGTCCCGGCTGCACTGCCCTGCACTGCCGCGTCTCGCTGACACCAACTAATGTTGGCCAGGGGGAGGGGGAGGGGGGGGGGGGCGTCACAGAGGGAGGGGGCGGGGCAGCGCGCGGCAGCGAGTGCCGCGGCGGACCCCCGCGACGAGAACAATACGCCCGCTGAAAGCAAATGCTAAATTACTCGCATCTTTCTTTCGCCGGCCTTTTGTTTCGGTTTCGAGATGGTTGCTTCCACCGCGGTCTCCGCTCCAGCCTGTCCGTCCGCACTGCTGCGGCAGTGAGCGCGCGCGTGTGTGTGCGTGTTCGTGTCCTGTGGCGGCCAGCGTGCTTTTTGTTGCACCCTGTCCCGCTTCTCCATTATTTAGGTCCATCCGCAGGGCGGCCAGGTCGGGCCAGGCCGGGCCGGGCGGCCACCACCGCCAGCTCGGCGCGCTTGACGTGCCCAGATTGGTGGCGACAAACGACCCGGCGCCTCGCCGAGGCCACGACGCCGTGGTCCCCGGCCATCTGGCCCACTGTGCGACGGGGCCGGCCGCTCGGATTCAGCCTCCAGGGGCGCGCGCGAGGCGGCGAAGAAAAAGCGGGGCGTGGGCGTCGTGCCGGTCACCTGTCCTAAGCCAGTGCCTCCGCCGCGGCCCTGGCTGGCCCTGGGGACGCGGCACGCCAGCCCGGCCGCCCCAAAGCAGGATGGACGAGGGTCCGGCCCGTCCGGCCGGCGAGGACCGCGGGGCGGGAAGGGACAAGGGGAGGGGGGCGCCATTGTCTACCCGATGCCTTTTATTTGGCAAGCCATACAGTCGCCACGCCCGATGCACCGCCGCCAGCGACAGCAGCGACAGCAGCCTCAGAGTCGTTTTCGTCGCTCTCTCCCTCTCGCACCTATGCGGCGCGCCCCATGAGTGCGAGAGAGACAGAGCGACGAGAACGAGTCCGCAGCCCGGACGGCCTTTCGGTCAATGAAACGGCAGCGCGCGGCGGAAAATAACGCCCTCCGAAAAAAAAGAGGATACAGACGGACGGGGAGGACAAAAACGAGGGGGCGGGGCCGGGCGGGGCAGCTGCGCGCTGAAAAGGATTCGACTCATTTTTCACTTCCGCCGAGTAGCCTCGCGCGCGTTCCTTTCTATGAATCCAGACGGCAACGGCATTGGCGGCGCACCTTACTCAACAGGCGCACGGCCCGCAGTGATTGAGCGGAGGAGGGGGGGGGGGGGGGGGAGGTACTGACACCAACGAGGACGCGTGGCTTTCTCGGCACTGCCTAACATGGCAAAAAAAATCCAATCTTTTTTCTTTGTTTAGTCCGACTTAATACTAGTCGACTCGACATTCCCCGTCGAGGTTCCCTCATCGCGGGAAGTCACTGCGAGTCCACGACGGCCACGGCAAGGCAGTGTGGCAGCCAGGTGGCTCGGCACAGCAGCCCTGCTGCTGCCATCCATATTCGGGCCGAACCGAAAACCGAAGATTGGCCTGCAGGGTGGGCCGCCCCGCCCCGCCCCGCCCCGCCCCGCCCCGCCCTGCCAACGCCCCTCGCCTTAAGGTCACTGTCGGGTCGGCCCGCCTCGCCCCGCCACGCCCCGCCCCAGGCAGTTCATTTGGATGTAACAGCTCCCCGAGCGAGGCCCCGAGGGGGGCTGCATGGCGGGCCGGCCTTGGGGCGGCCCCGGCCCGGCCTCGGGGCCAGATGGGGTACTCGGGCACAAACTTGGCGATGGGGCCCACGGCGGCCCTGGGCGGCCCCGGGCGGCCCTCGGTGGCGGACTCGGACTCGCGTTTGTCGTGGCCCATTACGGTCCTTGTACAGACCCCCTATATATGGGTCGCAGCGGGGTCGCTGACTAACTTGTATGCCCCCACCCCCTTCCCCCCTGCCGCCCGGCCCGGGGCCCGGCCCGCTATAAAGACGTTAGCGTGCTCGAGACGCATTCAGGCCGCGCGGCCTCAGCCCGCACCGCCAGGCCGCACCGCCAGGCCGCCAGGCCTCGGCCACGACGCGCACACGGCGCCGCGCACGCCACACGGCCGGGCCGGGCCCAAGTCACCGGACCAACCGACCGAGCTAAGCAAATTGCTACGAGGCCTCCCCGGGCTCCAACGGCGAGCCCCCCTCCGGCCCGCCGGCCGGTGTCGGCGGACAAGTGTACCCCCCGGCCCAGGGAACCCTCGGGTACATCTCGCCTAGGACCAAGGTACCCGGGGGTACACAACGCCTAGGCTCAATGTACCCCGGGTACCTCAGGTCTGGGGGGTACACTGAGCCTAGGCGAGTTGTACCCCGGGTACAAAAAGCCTAGGCGAGTTGTACCCGGGGTACAAAAAGCCTAGGTGAATTGTATCCTCCCTCATCCGAGGGGAGGATACAACTAGCCTAGGCGAATTGTACCCCGGGGTACAAAAAGCCTAGGCAAATTGTATCCTCCTTCATCCAAGGGGAGCCCGTTAGGTTTGGTTAGGAAAGGTTGTACGATTTCTTTTGAGAATCAGATCTGTCGCGAGTAGAGTAAGATCTGTCACGAGCCCGTTAGGTTTGGTTAGGATTGGTAGGACAATTCAGTTTTAGAAGTCTTCCGTCGGTTCAATTAAAAACCAACCATTGACGACGCATCACAATCCTGCCGGGGAAGAATATAAATCCCCTCGTCTTGTTGCATCCTCCCTCGGCGAGAGAGGATACAATTCGCCTAGGCTTTTTGTACCCCGGGGTACAATTCGCCTAGGCTAGTTGTATCCTCCCCTCGGATGAGGGAGGATACAATTCACCTAGGCTTTTTGTACCCCGGGTACAACTCGCCTAGGCTTTTTGTACCCGGGGTACAACTCGCCTAGGCTCAGTGTACCCCCCAGGCCTGAGGTACCCGGGGTACATTGAGCCTAGGCGTTGTGTACCCCCGGGTACCTTAGTCCTAGGCGAGTTGTACCCGAGGGTTCCCTGGGCCGGGGGGTACACTTCGCCGCTTACACCGGCACGGCAGCGTGGGTGTGACAGAGACGGACGAGCTTGTGTGCGCAGGTGTGGGCGTGCTCGTGTGAGAGACAGAGAGGGCGAGCGAGCGAGTGCGGACTGCGAGATTGTCTGTGTGTGCAGTGCGCCCGCAGAGTCGGGCATAGGCAACCCGCCGCACCGGCACGATCGCACCGTGCCTACACCGCGCGCTGCAGGCGGCGGCGCGGCCGACTGGGCCGCAAACATTTGAAGAGCCGGCCAGCCGAAAGTGAGGTGGAGAGGGGGGAGGGGGAGAGAGAGAGAGAGAGAGAGAGAGAGAGAGAGAGAGAGAGAGAGAGAGAGATGGGGCGTGCCGGTCTGATGGGCGGGACGGCCGTCTCGTGCAGCACCAGGACCAGGGCGTCCTCGTCGTCCTCGTCGTCCTCGTCGCGCGACGGTCCCCGCCAGTGCGGGCTGCAGCAGGGCGTGCAGGGCGTGCAGGGCGAGTCGCTGGCGCAGCGGCCGCACGGTTAGTTAGCCGCTTTGTGTTCGAACACCGCACGTGTGTGCATTTGCCAGATTGGCTGCAATGTAAATTCGGGCAAGTGCTGTCGCTGCTGTCGGTGCTGCGCCGCTGTGCCGTCGCATGCACAACCACCGTGTGCTCCCCTTTGAGCGCCTGCCACACAGGCCGGGCCGTGTCGTCTCTCTCGCGCGCACGGAGCTCTCCGCGGGGGCGAGAGAGAGAGAGACAGAGGGCTGCCCGTTCCAATCTGCGCGCACGCGGCGTGCCGGCCACTGAATAGTTTCGCTGCCGCCGCAGTGCAGTTTCCCGCCGAAGCGCGCCGAAGCGATGTCGGTGGCGTTTGTCGCTGACGGTGCGCCGAGTTGGCCAGCCGCGAGAGAGAGAGAGAGAGAGAGAGAGAGAGAGAGAGAGAGAGAGAGAGAGAGAGAGAGAGAGAGAGAGAGAGAGAGAGAGAGAGAGAGCGCGCAGAAAGGAGTGCTTTCACCTGTTCCGGCTCAAACGGCTCGGCGCCACCCACGCCGCGCACCGCACACAGATTTATCCCTCCAGAATGGCTTCTACCTCACCCTCCTTTTCCCGACGTTGCCCCTACAAGCAGCAAAAAAAAAATAATAATAAAAGAATAAAAAATATATATGGCTTATGGATACAGGGGAGGCAAGGCAGCCGCGACGGCTTGAGGTCACGTCCCGATTACCTTCCCTTGTGCGTGTGTGCGTGTGTGTTGGTGTGTGTCGGGGGGAAAAGAGGGGGGGGGGTAGTGCGTGCGCAGGACGCAGAGTGTGCGATCACAACGTATAGAGGGGAGGTACCGCTCCGATACAAGGTGACCCACTATTCATGCGAGGGCCGTACAAATCACTAGGTATTAATAATACGCACGACGCCCACTTTCGCGCACAGAGGGCGAGAGGGGATGGAGGGGAGGGGAGGGGAGGGGAAAGGGTGCGCGCCCTCCACTAAGCGTCGCCTCCACTCGGGCCATAAGCAACCGAACCCTCCTCCATCATGGCGCGGTTCCCTGCTGCAGAAGAGCGATTCCGCACCGACCGTGTTTCGTCGCTCCGTCTCTCTCGCACGCCGCCCCTGCGGCCACCCCGACGTGAGTGCGAGAGAGACGGAGCGACGAAAAGCCCCGTTCGGAGTGAGCGCGCCGAGAGGGTCGGGCTGGCGAGCCGCCGGCGCGCTGGTCTCGCCGTGCGTGTGTGTGTGTGCGCGCGCGTCCGTGTGACCCTGGCAGTGTACCAGTGCACCTGTAGCGGCGCGGGCGGGCGGGCGGATTAGGCGAGGCGGGCTGAGGGCGGCGGGGCGGAGGGCACGCCGCGCTGGCAGTGTGGCGGCAGTGTGGCAGCAGCGTAGCGAGCCCCCGACAGGAAATTGTGTTCGCGGCGCCTAAAACCCTGACAACGAGCAGACAACCGGCGGAGGCACCTCCACTTTCGCCTCCACCTGGGCCGGGCCGGGCCGGGCTGGGCTGGGCTGGGGGCGATGGGCTCAGCGCTCTAGCGAGGCGCGTCCGGCCGTCCGGCCGCCCCGGATGCACGCATGGGGAAAATGACGAGGTGGCCAGCCCGAGCAGCCAGGCACACCGCGGGCAGTGGGCCGGAAGGCCGCGGCGCCGGCGGCCGAAACGCTGGACGCGTTTTGAGCTCCAGAGTCGCTTGACAGGACTCGAACCGAACGTGTGACCTCACCAATGGGTTCCTCGTTCGGAGAGCTATCCATTGGTGGGGTCACACGTTCGGTTCGAGTCCTGGTTAGCGACTCTGGAGCTCAAAACGCGTCCGGGCTCGACTGCCGGCACACTGTGGGCCGGCGTGACGGCGCGGCAAGAAAGGCGACAAGTTGCGCCATTTCTCCTGCCGGCACACTGTGGGCCGCCGGCTGCCCCGCCAGACTGTCGGCCGGCCATTTCAATCCAAACTTGGGGCGATTGGCACCCCGCACTGCTCCGCACCCCACCGGCTTCGCTGCTTTCGCCGCTCGCTGGACGACGGCCGGCCTGATGCAGGCGGGTCGCGCTGTCTCTCTCGCACCCCTAGGGCCTCCCCACGGGTGCGAGAGAGACAGCGCGACGGAAAGCACTGCTCAGCCTGCTGGCCCTCGGGGGTCAGCGCCGCAAAAACTGGAAATGTAGCTAATTATGGCCGTGGGCCTGCGGGGCGGGGCGGGGCGGGGCGGAAGCGAGGGGGACGCGATCTGTAACCCGCACGCCGGAACAGCCACAAATCACTGGCAAGCCTCATCGCGCCTCAAGCAAAGGGGGAGAGAGAGAGAAAGCGAAAAGAAAGAGAAAACACGAACGGACCGAAGTACGAAGTACGCGGGAGCCATTTTGCTATCCGGCCACGCGATAAATATCGCTCTCATGAGACGCAACATTAGGACCGACCGGGACCGACGTTCGGCTGCCGCAACCAACCACCCCAAAAAGGCTTTCTTTCCCTTTTTTTTCAAAAAGTTGGCGGGGCGCGCGCCAGGCCAGCCGGGCCCCGCAACACATTGATTCACGCGCGCCTCGGCAGCCGCAGAGCAACGCAACGCAACGCCGCAACCCTTCCGGCAGCCACACTGGAAAGAAAAAGGCGGCGAGGAATGTTCCAATCAAATCAGGAGCGAAGCGCGAGGCGCGCCTGTGGGCCTCTCGGTTCGTCGCATCGGTGCAGGACCAGCTGTCTGGGCGCGGCCAGCGCGCGGGGCGGGGCGGGGCGGGGCGGGGGGGGGGGGCGGGGCGGGGCGGGGCGGGGCGGGCGGACAGAGAAATACGAGGCAAGGCACGCGGAATGCGACTTATCTACGCACACATCCGCACACAATTCCAGGCCATATATTTTGCCAGTCGTCCTGCCGCCGGCCCCGCCGGCCCCGCCCACGCCGGTGACTCCAAATCTATTTTTATTTCCCATATATCGGTCGGCATTCTTTACATCAATGCCTCTCTCCCTACGCGGCCAGCCGCACGCACCTCTGTGTCCCTCCTTTGAGATCGATCACCGCGGCCACCAACCAGAGCGTTTCCGCGCCTCGCCCCGCGCTCGCACTCCAACCGCCGAAGCTTTAAATAATAAAAGTTGGAAACCCAATCCGATACGCGGGGGGCGACGGACCGCGGACGTCCAGTAAATGTACCACTAGGTCAGGGGAGCGCATTACGGCCTCCCATCATATTTTTCGCCAGCCCCAATTTTCCTGTTTTCTCCAACTTTTTTCTTTGTTTTTATTTTTATTTTTATTCATCTGCTCTGCCGGCCGGGCCCGAGCCGCCCCGCTGCGTGCAACGACCCAGGCAGGCAGGCCCACCTCACGCCCCCCCCCCCCTTTCCCCCTCCCCTCCCCAAT